TCTTCCCCCGAGTGTGGCCATGCACTGGCACAGTGAGGCCTGCCCATGGGGCTTCTGGGCAGTGAGACCTCACTTGGCTGACACCAGGGGACCAGCTCTGCCCAGGCGGGTTCCTTTAGGGAAAGGTACATCTGCTGAGGGGAAAATGGGGGGAAGCTGCCAACTCACATACTGTTGTCATGTCACTGAGCCGACCTTCTGGTTCTGTGACAGCTCTCCTTTGTGTCACCCCACATAGCCTGTACATAAGTGTGCTCAGGGTTAGTGTCATTGCGCTCCAGTGTAAGTCTATCAAAACCTCAAATAGTGAGCTGAGGCCACAGCCCAGTGGGGAGAGCAAGTGTCATGCTAGTGCGAGGACCCGAGTTCAAATCTCAAGAACCCTGTAAAGACAGACTGAGTAGTGTTTGTAATTCCAGAACTGCTACAGCGAGATGGGAGGCGGAAACAGGAGAATCCCAGAAGTCTGCGGGCCTGGGTTTGCAGGAGTTAACAAAGGAACATCTCAAGCAAGGCAGAAGATGAGGACCAATACCCAAGGTCGTCCTGGCCTCCAGCCGCAATGTGGCATATGTCTGCTTCCACCATCCACACATCTCACACACGTATACACACATCTCACACCATATACACACCTTGTACAAACAGACCAAGAAAAAAACTCCAATGCTTTAAAATGTTTATTATGTATTAGGGGAGGGTTGGGACAAGGTGTGTAGCTTTGGTTGGCCTCAAGCATACTATGTAAGCTGGCCTGGCCTTGAACTCACAGAGATTACCCTGCCTCTCTGCCTCCTGGTACTGGCATTAAAGTCAGGCACCACTATGACACAAAAGTCACACTTGTAATGTCATTGTGCCCAAGTCAAAATCCGAGACATTGAAGTTAGCTCATAAAGCTGGGACTCAAAAAAGCAGGGCTCATGAGGGTGGACAGAATGAAGAGGGGTCCCTGCAGGCCCACAGCCAGTGTCCTGATAACTGCCAGGCAGATGGGCCAGATGCTGGCTTCAGAGTTACCGGGTCCGTGGCCCCATTTACCCGGAAAACTCCAGCAACTGCTGATCTCCTCTGCCCCACCCAGGCAGCAGGGCTGGGTTGCAGTGCGCCCATCATCCTTCCCAGAGTTCTCTTATTCTTCCTGAGTGAGCCCCAGGTGCCTGCCCGCTCTGCCACACCCTCTGCACAGCCCTGTTGGGGAAGGTGGCCCAGCTTCAGGGCTCCACATCTGCCCTGCCTTCCTCTTGGGGCCTCTCCAGGACAGCAGTCCCTCCCATCACTTGAACAAGTCAAGCCCTGCTCTGTGCCAATTCTCCTTACAGCAGAGCCCGTGACTGCTGTGACTGGTTCTGGGTGACTGTGGCAAGCTGGGTCCCTGCAGTGGCTCAGTATCCTCATCTGGTAGTAAGCCAACCTCCCCAAAGCACTTCAACACTGGCCACAGTGAGCCCCAAGCACCCACAGGCAAGTACAGCCCCTCTCTGTGTACCCAGTTTCTCTGAGTTCTGTGCTGTGGATAAAGCAAACCATGGGTTGAGAACGATCTGTTACGGGCTGGGGAGATAGCTCAGGGGTTCAGGGTACTGACTCTTCTCCCAGAGGACCCGGTTTGATTCCCAGCACTCACACAACAGCTCACAACCATCTGTAACTCTAGGTCCAGGGGATCCAACACCCTCCCCTCTGGCCTCCGCAGGTTCCTGGCATATACGTGGTACACCCATACACATAATTTTTTTTAAATTTTAAAAAATAGTATGAGTGCGTGCAGCAGCACATGTGTTCAGGTTAGAGAACTGTTTGGTCAGTTCTCTCCTTCCATAGTGACATGGGTCCAGCGATGGACCTAAGGTCGTCAGGCTTGGTGAGCCTCCTTGATGACCTGAAAATATCTGGAAAAAAAAAAAATCTGGGGTGGGAGGACTGGAGAGAGGGCTCAGGGGTTGAGAGCACTTACCCCTCCTGCAGAGGGCCTGAGCTCAGCTCCCAGCACTCCAATGGAGGTTGACAGCCATTTGTTCCTGGGGACTTTACACCCTCTTCTGGACTCCGGAAGGCACACACATTACGGCAACTACTTTTAAAGATTGTACTCTTAATTACATGTCTGTGTGTGTGGATGTGTGGATGTCAAGGCACTTGATCCCCTGTGAGCTGTCTGATAGGAACGCTGGGATTGAAACACCATCCTCTGGGAGCAGCCGGTGCTCTTAAGTACGGAACCTCTCTCCAGCCTCATAACAAATATATAAAAAAAACTTTACCTGGAGTCAAGCATGGTTTACAATCCCAGCACTTAGGAGAACCTCTCCACATGTGGGGGCAAACATATCAGGCTCCAGACAGCCAGGTCTATGGAGTGCGACCCTATCGCAACAAAACAAATCCCTAAATCTGTACAGAACATACGTAGACTCCTCCTTGTCATCTCTTCCTAAACTTAACACCATTTATACAGTATTTAAGAATGATCCGGGGCTGGAGAGGGCTCAGCAATTAAGGGTACTTGCTTTTCTTGCAGAGGCCCCAGGTTTGGTTCCCAGCACCAAAATGGTGGCTCACAACCATCCACAGGCACACAGAAGGTGCACATACACACATACATGCAGGCTGAACACTGAAACAACAAATAAATCTTTAAAAAGTTACCTAGAACTTCTTAGAGAAAGCTCAAGCTGGTAGAGACACTTGCCACTAAGCCCGACATCCTGACTTGGATTCCCCAAACCCAATGGTAAAGGAACAACTAAAAAAGTTTTTCTCTGATCTCCACACACTGGTAAGGATTTAAGGTAAGCCAGAGAGGTCTTAAAGAGCACGGAAGGGCTGATGGGCCACATCCACGTTTCATTCTAGGGACTTGAGCACCTGCAGGCGGGGGTGGCTGCTGGTGGCCCCGAAACCGGGAGAGAGTGGGATGAGGCCCACCGGAGCCTCCCAGTGTTAGCTACAGGGCCTGGGTCAAAGCAGAATGATGCCCCTCCAGCCCGCCTCCATGGGCCAGAAAGAGCTAACAAGCAAACTGGACCTGAGGCAGAACAGAAAAATGAGAAAATAAGGAGACATGAAAGCGAAAGGGCCCCTTATCCCCAAATTTAGTTTGTGTATCTTATTGTCTGCATGGAAAAAAAACAACACAACTGACAAATGAGATTGCAGCAGAGAAGTCCCTTCTCAGAGAGACAATCTAAACGAGATGATCTCCTAGGGTGCCCGTGTGGTCTGTGGACTTCAGCAGCATGCCTCTCCCTGCCTTAAACCTGAGCAAGATGCTCCATAAACCACCGCACCATTTCATTTGCAAAAGGAGAATTAGGAATCAGTTAAATGATTCGTATGCCTTCACTTTTAAAAAAGCATTTTTTCTGTATGTGAGTAATCTATTTTCACACACACCCAGGACTCAGATCCCATTACAGATGGTTGTGAGCCACCATGTGGTTGGCAGGAATTGAATCCAGGACCTCTGAAAGAGCAACCAGTGCTCTTAGCCACTGAGCCACCTCTCCAGCCCCATGTTTTTGTTTGAAGCCGGATGTGGTAGCACTGTCTTTACTCTGAGCACTATCAAGCCAGCCGCCAGCAGACCTCCTCAAGTTCAAGGCCAACCTGGTCAACCTAGTGAGCTCCAGGGTAGCCAGATATACACAGTGAGACCTCGTCTCAAAAACTGTGTTAGTTTGAGAAGTGGTTCCACTATGTAGACCATGTTGCCTCTACCTCCTGGGTGCTGAGATTAAGGACCTGTGCCACCATGTACAGCCTGCACTTAATTTTTAAACGCTGAACCCACCTGTAAATTATATTGAGCATTGTAACTTCAAGGGCCACAAACCCACACATACAGCTACGGTGAAGCCTCTTGAGGCCCATCCCTCATTCTTTCTGAGCATCCAGGCTGTCTCTAGCATGTTTAGACTGCCGACTGCCATCTCTGCCCAGCTCTGCTTTCATGTGGACTTATCCTGAAATTCTTTTTCATCCGGCAGTCAAGACGCCAGTTCCACCTGAGTGGAGGTCCAGAGGCAGCAAAGCTCCGGGGGCCAGGGTCAGGTTGCCACGCGGCCACGTGGGAGGACCCAGTGAGCCAAGGGGGGGTCCGTCTCCAGTTGAGCTTGCTCCCACGCCTCCCAGCACGTGGCAAAGGTGACTCCTTCAGTGGGGGCTGAGTTGCAGCTTCCAAAAATAAAGTACCTGTGAACTGGACATGACCTTGAGCCCATGCAGATGTAATATAGTTCAGATAGTCTTGCTGGAGTATCTGAGATCAAATTTATTCAATTTAACGTCACTGGGTTATCCTGCATCTTTGTCAGTCTGGAGGCCCTGGGTGGTAAGAAAAGACTACACTGAGACTAGGTTCAAAATCTCTAAATCTGCACTTGATGCTGATTCCCCGTGGGCCCAGGAGGCAGGTAAACCTGCCCAGTGCAGGGCTGCCTGCCCACGCCAGAGCACCCACAGCACAGGGCCTGCGTGGGAAGGACATATGGGCCAAGGCAGCTGACCTGGAATTTCAAAACACTACAGAACCAAGGGTAGAAATCTGGGGTCCCAGACCACACAATTCCAGGCAGCCATGGTAATCCATGGTACAACAGAATTCATCTCAGGTGAGTGAAAACAGTTTAAGTGGGGCCTGGTCAAAGTGGATGACATGGGAAAAGCATGACCCAGGACCCCTTAAGCACTGGAAGGCCCCTGCTGAGAAAACATGGCTAAGAGGACAGAGTTTTCAACCACAGCCCTGAGGCTAGAATGGGGAAGGGGATAGCATGGAGCTGCTGTGAACCACATCTCAAGGAAAAGTGGGCCAGGACTGCCTGGAGCCAGATCCTGCTTCGGCCTTCCTCTAGAGGGGCGCACTAACCCCCTCAGTTTTTGAACATCATAAAGAAGCTTATTTCCTAAGGGAAATGTCAACTTGAGGCCAGGACACAAGCCTGCCTTTCTCCACCGCCTCCATCCCCCTTTCCCATCCCCCGCAGAGTTCACACAAGTCAGGCACAAAAAGCCAACTTTTTTATTTACACTGTGGTCTGTACATTACAGTTCCTTGGAAGGTGCCCACCACTAAAGCCTGTTTCTGTAGAGAACAGGCTAAAAGCAAACAATTCAGGGCCTGGGACTCACCCCACTCTCCCCCACCCTGGGGCCTGAAGAAGTTTCTTTCTGACCCCAAAGCTAAGGCCATTTGCAATTACTGGCTTCTGGTAAGCCCCAGATGTAACCCCCGGAGAGTCAGAACTTATCTGCCTATAGCTTCCTCCACCTGAGCCGCAGAAGGCCCAGCCCCATAGCATGAAGAGCTGAGGTTGGGAGCCAGCAGGCCGAGTCCTCGGCACACAGCGTCCTGTCCGGGCCCTGATGTTAGTCTGGTGATTAATGGCACTCTGGTCTGAGCACCAGCAGACAAGGAAGGGCTAGACAGGTGAGGATAGCAGGCAGGGACCGCAGCAGATGGCTTCCTTCAGCACACACGGGGGACACACAGGAGGCCGTGACCCTAACCCCAGATGTACTGCCAGGCATGGACACCACATGGCTGGGGCTTCCTCTAGAAGAGCCATACACAGAGCTGCAACCTCCCTGCTGGGGCCAGCTCAGGATAGAGGATGTCTGTCTTCTATAAACATCCGAACCCACACAGAAGGGGTTTGTGGGAGAAGCTGGTCCGCACAAAGCTGCCCTTGTCTGGAACGCAGGGCTTCTAAACTAGCTGCAGGTACGTGGGGACCGAGTGGCTCCTATGAAGACTGTAACAAGATCCTGTACAAAACTCACCAAATCAACAGAGGCTGGGGAGCAATAGAATGCTGGGCCCGACGGGGCAGGGGTGGAGGTAGGGTACAGTGTCTGCAGCTGGCCTCAGGGGAGGCATATGGCTGCACACGTGAGCACACACAAGACGGGGGAGACAGGGTAAGGGGACGTACAAAAGGGGCAGTGGATAACAGAATCCTGTGTGGTGGCAACAAGGAAGAAAAAGGCACGAGGACCCCAAACCATGCAGACAACAAACGGTTTGTGCAGATGGTCCCAACAAGAGGCAGGGCCATCAGGACTTAGGCCTGTAGGAGAGGTGGCCTGGGATGCTGACCCAGCTGGTACTTCTGGGGCACACATCCCTACAGTACAGCCACGACAGGAAAGAGGAGCCCACAAGGAAGGGACATCAAAGCTATCCAGCGAATAGGGTGACAAGGCCTGTCACCTTGCTATGCTTTCAGAAACACCGTCTGGAAGTGGCTATTTTTTTTAGCTGAAAGACTAAAAGATTTCAGAGCCACAGAGCCCCCTGAAGGTGCTACCACTTTCTCCTGACACACCCATCACACGTACACTCCGTCATGGGGGAAGTCAGGACATCGAAGTCCTGTGAGCTTGAGACCCCCTCAGTAAGCACTTGCTAGTGACACCAACCTGAGGATCCACCACAGAGGAAAGTCCTTGAGCCCTAGTGAGGGGCGGGGTAGGAGGGAAGATTGGGGAGAAGGGGCAGCATTGAAGCCCTGAAGAGCTTCCTCTAGACTTCTACAGAATCACCGGGTGACTTAAAGGTCTCGGTGACTAAACCTTTCCCAGGTCCCATCAGTCATGTCTACAAACAGGTGTGGATATGCCAATGCCCCACGGACAAGTGAATTCCCCCCGCTTCCTTGGATCTCACTGGAGACTCGCTTACAAATCCCTTACAGAGCCTAATGTGTACCAAAACCTCCTGGACCATCAGAACCAAACTGACCATCAGACCATCACCTAGAGTCTGGTGTGGGCTGGGTGCAGATTTGGCACTGACAGGGAAGCAACTGTGACACTCTCACTGCCCAGTCAGAAAATGGATAAAACCCATGGGGGCAAGTGGCCACTGCATCTGAGGCTGCTTTCCAGGTCCAGCGCTTACCTGACTATCTGCCTCCACCTCAAGCCCGTACCCAGTATATGGTGGCACTTGTTTCCTGTGACACCAGGGGTCCCATGCAGAGAACCATTAAGGGATACAGACTTCCAGGCTAGTGAGAGTAGCTGGACTCTCTCGGGGCAGGGACCATGCAGTGGCATCATCGCCAAAAGTCATCCATCATCTCAACCAAGGGCATGCTTCTCCAGCCCCGCCTGAACTCGGCAGACATTTCATGGGTTTTTCTCTACTTGAGCCAATGACTTTCTAGGACAGGAGCCTCCACCTTGAGCTGTGCCGGAGCAGCCCTTGGGAAGACCACTGAAAATAAAGGTGCCCAGCCACCCTGTGCCACCAGTTAGATACCGAGCTCAGAGTTGGTCCTGCTATCAACTTCTTTTCATGCTGCCAAGGACTGAACCTCACACTAGGCACAGTATCACCGTGCTGCATTCCCAAGCCCTCCATCATCAGATTCTTTTCAAGACCTTCCCAGGTGACACCAGCACACAGCCAAACTGGCAAACTCAGTCTCAAAGTCCTAATCTTCTGTTTGGTTCTTGAGCGTTGTGTTTTTAGCGTATCAGAAATAAAATTTAAAAAGGAACTTCCTCTGTAGAGTCTCAAAAAAAAAAAAAAAAACTGGCTTAAAATGAAATCTATCTAAGTCAAAGCTAACAGGAAAACAAACATAGGAAGGCATGAGCTTGTTGGCTTCCAGTGGAATGTAAGGATGGCTTAGAGCCACATAAAAGGTGCACCCCTGGATCTGGCAGGTTACTGCTGACCCTTCCCTGAGGGAGTTGTCCAATCTGGCAAAAGCAACACCCACTTCACAGGGCATCTAGCTAAATTAGCATCACTTGAGGCATTCTTAAAACATTCCAAGGCCTGGGCCACACCTGTACCAACTGTTAGAACATGTGAGGAGAATGTTAAAAAGTTCCCTAAACATCAAGTATGGCGTGGAATATCATGATTCTAAAACCACTTGTTTATCTGACACTCAAATCTAACTGAATGCCAAGTCTATAATCAAGACAAAGGGAAGTCAAGGGATGGCTCACAACTGTAAACCAAGCCAGGCAGACATCAGAAATAGAGATCAGATTCTTCCCAACCAAGGAAAGTTCTGGAACCTTCCACGAGTGATATGGCGCTGGGACCCCTGGGCTTTCAAGTCTAGAAGAACATTTTAAAAATAAAACGGGCGTGGTAACTCATGCCTGTAATCCCAGCATTCTGGAGGCTAAGACAAGAGAATTGCCTTGAGACAGCTGGAGCTACAGTGAGAGACCCTGTCTCAGGAAATATAATTAAAAACCTGCTCCCAGCGCCCACATGGCATGCAGCTTACAACTGCCTGTAATTCCAGTTCCAGGGCTTCTGACACCCTCACGATATATATGCAGGCAAAATACCAATGCACATTAAAAAAAAAAAAAAAAAAAAAGATAGAAAAAAAGGGCGGATATTGCCTGAGGTGTGTAGCACGGGTATCCAAGGGTGCTTCACGCTCACTGTAACAGGCTCAATGATGAATGCAGATTCACCAGCTTAGGATCACAAGCTGAAAAGGGCGTGTTCGCTTAAATCACTGACACAAGAGAACGACACAGTCATTCCTCCACCGGACCTGGTCGCTGATGCTGTTTTAAAAAACATCGAAGGAGATACTGAGACTCACAGCCAAACTTTGGGCAGAGTGCAGGGAATCTTATGAAAGAAGGGGAAGACAGACCTAGAGGGCACAGGAGCTCCACAAGGAGAGCAACAGAACTAAACAATCTGGGCACAGGGGTCTTTGCTGAGACTGATACTCCAACCAAGGGCCATGCATGGAGATAACCTAGAACCCCTGCACAGATGTAACCCATGGCAGCTCAGTCTCCAAGTGGGTTTCCTAGTAAGGGGAACAGAAACTGTCATGAACTCAGTGGCTGGCTCTTTGATCACCTCCCCCTGACAAGGAAGCAGCCTTACCAGGCCTCAGAGGAAGATTATGAAAGACAGTCCTGAGGGGACCTAATGGGCTAGGGTCAGATGGAAGGGGAAGAGGACCTCCTATCAGTGGACTTGGGAAGGGGTATGGGAGATGAGGGAGGGGGTTACAGTGGGGATACAAAGTGAATAAACTGTAATTTATAAAAATATTTAAAAAAAAAACAAACCCCTTAGTGCCAGAGTGCAGTAAGTGCCAAGACACATGGAGGAAATGTATCATGGCCCATTTTTTTGTCTTCTGTCTACCTTCCCTTATCTTTAATGCCACTGGTAAGCTGATCTTGCTACCACTACTATGGCTAGACAGGAGTGGAGAGACCAATGCCAAGAGGCCAATGTCTGCCCTGGGTCAATGAAGATGGTGATGACACCACTTGGTGAACATGACATTCAAAGTTGCTCTTGGCCTCAGGAAGCCACAGCAAGCCACAGCACAACAGATCACCAACCAGTTTCATGTGATGTAACTATGTAATGAAGTTTTGGTTTTTTTGTAAACTCAGCTATGCTATGTAAATATGTTTTTGTTTTAATCCCAAGTGTGGGATTTTAGTTGGGGTAGAGTTTGTCCATGGCTGTTAATTGTCATATGCAGGAGTGTGGCCTCTGCCAGCTGGGAACGGCAGGGAGAGGGGCGTGGTCTGGGACTCCGGGGATATAAAATGAGCCTAGAAAGAGAAGAGTGGGTGGCGTGTGGTGTTGGCAAGTGGCACCTCGTAGTCTGGAGAGACCCGAGGGATGGGCAGTGTGGCAGTTTGGAGCACACAGACGGAAACGCTCCGCGGTGCAGCGGTGTGGAGGTGCCTGCTAGTTGCTTCTGCGGCTGACAGAGCCTGGAGCATCCCCCAAGACCCTTCGACCCTAAACAGTCAGAAGTAAAGGGGCTCTCTCTTCCCACTAACCGAGGTTGGAAGGTTGAGGCCTTAATACCCCAAATAAAGTAGGTGTAAGAAAACAAGTGCTACAGAACTGTAGTCCAAGGACCAGCCCTCCACACGACATTAGCAACTCTCTTGCTATCTCTGCTCTCAAAGGAGCAGCAATGTGGCCCACTGCTCAAGAACTAGACACCAAGTCCTTGACCCATCTCTTTGAGCCTGGGGAGGACACAGACCTTGATGGAAGAGCATTTATCAGCCAGGTCAGGTTGACTGTGGCTTATGCTGAGGTGGCAACATACTTCACTGTTCATCTTGTGCTGGAGGGTTCCCAGGGCGGGGTCCGAGACAAGAGCACTCCGGGTTGCTGAAGCTGGTCTGGAGGAAGCCCAAAGACAACAGTTCCTATACAGCAAGGCATTAGAATTAGCTGCCCATGAAAGGCTAAATCCAAATCTATGCCGAGTGGCCAACTCAAGGGAGAGAAAGCTGGATGACAACTTCAAGGATTGCAAATCAACTCCGGAAGGCCTGTCTCGGCTGACAAACCATGAGGTGGAAGAGGCAGTCAATAAGCCTCCAAAGAGAGGTCGTGGCATCAGCACTGAGGAGTGGGAGGGACTCAAGGCAGAGTTTGCTATGCCAATAAGGACATCAATCCAAGCTTTGCTTGAACAGCAAGGCAAGCTCCAGCCAATGAGTATGATGCTGTAAGCTTAGAAGATCTCCCTGCTCTAATAACCATCAGCTTTAGGAATTAGAAACAAACAAACAAACAAACAAAAAAACCCAACAACACAGAAATATTATAAGAATGTTTCCATTTTGATCCCAGGTGTTGGGATATCAGCCCACTGCAGACTGCTGGAAGCAGCTGAACACGATTGCCTTGCGCTCCAGCAGAGGCATGGTTTTGCAGGTTGCAAATAGGTTCTGTGATTGTGTGATGTTTGGAATTCTGGAATCTTTTCAGAGTGTACATAAATGCCCTGACAGGTGGGGTCAGTGGTTGTTGGTTATGCAGGGGAGTTGTTAATAGCTGTGCTCAAAGAAGAAACACAAAGAAATTAGTTTCAAGGATCTCTCTCTCTCTCTCCTCTATCCTTCTGTCTAGTGGTAGGGGGTGAAACTGGGGGAATAAAGGACAGGAAAAAGGAATCCACAAAGTAGCAAAGACCAGATACAAGCAAAGAAGAAACAATAAAAAAGTTAGGAAATTCATGGATCTCTCTCCCCCTCCTCTATCCTTATTTCTCTATCTAGTGATAGGAGATAAAACTGGCGTGGGGGCGAAATAAGGAGCGGGATGGGGAGAAGAACCCACACAATAGCAAAGACCAGATACAAGTGGTGCCTCAGAGCGGAGCTCGAAGGTTAAGTGTAAAAAATGATATCCCGGCTGGAAGCTGTCTCACACCTCACACCTGGTAGTGGTGTGGAACAAGGTTCTGGCGGGATCGGATGGAGTCCTACAGAAATTATAGATCTAAGGCATTTTCTAAAAAGAGGCCACAATTTCATATGGGGTGTACTCACCTTATGGGAAACAAATTCTAAATAATTGGGCTACTCAAAATAGAATTATTCCCCAAGACTGGAAGGGACTGGTGCCAACTGTCCTAGAGGCTGGTCCACAGTTGCAATCAATGGTTAACATGATGGAGGGAAGAGGCGTCAAACGCTGAACAGCAAAACAGAGGGAAGGGAATGAATACAGTAAAAGACCAGCTGCTGGGTAAAGCATGGCACTCGGATAAATAGGAACAAATTCAACGTGATGAGGCTACTACAGAGCAGTGACGCTTGGTGGCTTTCAGACCTTGGGATGAAGCTGAGGATCCTTGCTTAGAAGGATCGTACAAAGCTCTAGAAGTCTTTGCTGGTTTTTACATAGACTGGGCTCAGCCATGAACAAAGCCGTACCAGACCCTGATGGGAGAGAAGTGCTAACTGGGACCTTGGCGGTTGAAAATGCAAATACAGTCCACAAAAAGTATAAGTCATTAAAGGTGAGGTCAGCACCTACGGAAGAGTGGGTCATGGAGACGACCGTTACTGCCACGATAATTGGACAAGCCATAGCTAAAGGTTTCAGATCTCAAAATGCCCAGTGCTTCAACTGAGGGAAATACAGTCATTTGCAAATACAGTCATGAGCAAACCAAAAGCCTCAAATTTCAAGCCCACTGCATTGTGAGAAATACAGTACTTCGTGCCAGAAAAGTAAATGAGCTGTTTCTAGGGGCATTGGTTTTCCTAAATCTCAAACAGAGAAAAAAAAAAAAAACAACAAACCTAGACTTCCCAGAGTGTGTATGCAATGTGGCAAAGGCAGCCACTGGGTTCAGGAACCCAGATCCAAGAGACACATTCAAGGTAATTTCTTACCACTAAAAACAACCTTGAGAGCCTGAGCTCAGGGCACCAAAGCAAAAATTATGAGCCGTTTCAGTCAAAGAACAATAGCAGCCAAGACACACTGGGTTATAGAAAACAACAACAAAAACTGTGGAATTAAACCAACCTATATACTATAAGGATGTTAACATCAGAATGGAAACCAGTGAAAGTTTTGCATTGGGGATGCATATTTGTTTACATTTCCACAGGAAATGAAAAGCTGTAGATACCATCAAAACAAAGACTAGAACTGAGCAGAAGTCTCCTGAAAACCTTGGCCACTGACCCAAAAAGTGGTTATTTCACTGAAAAGGTCTGTCTACAATTTCCCAATACGAAAAAACCCCACCAAACTGCTACACAGCAAGTAAACAAGAGGTTCAGTGAAATGTATGTATCTTTCCCAGGGCAACACCGAAACAGAGAAAACCACTGATGTTAAGGGCACAGCCACTTCGCTAATGGCATGTGATCTTGGTACTGCATTCCTGCCATGTGAATCTGACACCAGTGAAGCATCCTTTACTAAACAGGTACTGAAGGTGGCTGAATATGCAGAAATGACTACCTGCAGGACCATTCACTGCTTTATAGATGCAGGGCTCTCTGACGGCTCTATGCTACCTGGAGTCGCCAAGCAAATAAAGTGAGTCACAGCTTCAGAGGCAGATCTCAAGAAGATGAATTATGAAGATATCAAGTTGGCCTTACATCAAGGCACTGAAGCTCAAAGACCATGAGGAGACAAGCCCCGTGAGCTTCCCGAACCTAAGTAAGGTTGGACATTCACACAAGAGGAAGTTGGGTGGATCATTCAAAGACCGTACAAAGCTGCAAAGGAAAGCTGTCTCACTTAACTGACCTGGAAGTGGAAGCAGCTGTCAACAAACCATCACGAAGATCCAGAGGCATGAGTGAGGACGATCTGAAAGATGTCTCTGGAGTAACTGATGACATCTCACACCAAGAAGGCAACTTGCAGGCATAGAGTCATCGTGTAATTCCGTCTGCAGATTTCTGTGCCCTGACCCCCATATCTGGCTGCAGTCCTTGTTCTGAGAATCTCCTGCCTCCATGTTTTATGAACACTGCTTTCCCAAATGTCCCCTGGTATACCAATAAAGCCAATCGCTCAGCACAGGAGAGCATAATGGAAGTTTTGGTTTCTTTAAAACTCAGCTATGTTATTTATGTAAATATGGTTTTGTTTTAATCCCAAGTGTGGGATTTTAGTTTGGGCTTTAGTTTTCCCATAGCTGAAAATTGTCTCGTTCGGGGCATGGTCTTTGCCTGTCTCATGTGGCAGAGTGGTGTGGTCTAGGACTCTGAAAAAGCTAAATGAGAAATCCCAGCGAGAGAAAGTGGTGTGTGGTGTTGGCGTGTGGGGTGTGGCAGTTTGGAGAGGACAGAGAAGGACACTGTGGAGGCTTGGACAGGTGGAGAGAAACGTTTCAATGCAGTGGCTTTGAGGAGACTGCTGCCGATTTTGCCATCAAAGGAGATTGGTATCGCCCCTAAGCACCCACTGACCCTGAACAGCTGGGAAAAGGGGGTCTGCACCCATTCTCCCCACTAATGTTCTCCCTCCTACCTAGGGTTTGGGGGTTGGAAGGGAGAGCCTTTAAGGAACCCCAATTAGAGTAGTTTTTAAAAGGAGTGCTACAGGAGAGAATAGGGCTGGACTTCCTGCCAGCCAGGGGAGGAGGAATTAGAAGAAGGAAGTAGGGGATTTAGTCATGGCAGATGTCCAAGAGGGACCAGGAGAAGGAGCCGAAGCAGGAAACCTACAAAGTCCAAGTATCTCTGGGATGAACTCTGGGAAGAAGCCAAATTACCTTAAAGGATTAAGAACAGATTAATAACTGCTCAGTTCTTGTGCTGTGAAGCTTGTTAAAATAATATAATTCTCAATTATTTGTGTGATAGCTGGGTTAAGAGAGAAACTGAGAAACAGACAGTTTTATAAAAATAACCTTAACAGCAACTAGCCTCTTACATATCGCAGCAGAGTGCCCATGGTAGAAAAATGATTAGCGTCACTGAACTTCTCAACCTTATTAAAGCAGGGATTAAGCAAGACATTATGAGCAAGGCCTTTACAAGAAGTTACAATGTAAGACATGCACCACTCCTTGCAATGCAGAATTGTATATAGATGTACAGATACCACATATGTAAGAAAAAAAATTTCCCACTACACCTAGCATAATTAATGCCTTAAAACAGAAGGGTAAAATGTAGTGACAATTTTGGAATTTTGGTTTCCTTAAAAAAATATGTTTTTGTTTTAATCCCAAGTGTGGGGATATGGGGATGGCTCAGCCTGTCCAAAGCAGCTATTATTTGCCTTGGGCTCTGGAAGAGGCATGGTTTTGCCAGCTGCAGACAGTTTCTGTGACGGTGTGATGTTTGGAATTCTGGCAACTCTTCAGAGGGTGTACATATTCTAAAGCCCTAAGAGGCAGACATGGTGGTTGTTCAGGGGGGGTTGGTTGCAGTTATTGGTAGTAGAAAAGAAATTAGATTCAGGGATCTCTCTCTCCCCACCCCCATCTTTCTTTCTCTCCTATCTAGTAATAGGAGGTGAACCCAGGAGGAATAAGGGAAAAAAGAACCCCAAAGTAGCAAAGACAAGGGCCCAGGCCCACAGTGAGCTTCAAAACTTGGCATTTCCTTGGGGAATCCATTCTTCCAGACCAATGATGTAGGCCAAAAGCCTTCCTCCCTGCCTGTTACCCTCACAGAAACTCTTTCCCCTTTTGTGATGCCTCTGCAACCTTCTCTGGAAACCCACAAGTGAAGCTGGTGGCCAATATAATTTCAAGTACAAAACACCCCTGGAAGCAGACTCCACAGATCAGAGTCTATACTCAGCTGGCCTCTGCTCTGTTCCTGACAGCAACCTGGACCAACCTCAGACCCTGGTTTATTCTTCCTTCCTTCCTACTGACATATCCTCAAGCGACTCCCTACTGAGCATCCTTTATCCACATCTTCCCAGACCTCAGGGGATGCCCACAGACACCTGTATCCCTGGTATCGTTCATCCAGGCAGAGCAGGGCATGACAACCCACCCACCGTCCATGCAGCATGAGATAAACCCCGTGCACATGTTTTAAAGAACCTCAAAAGCCAAGAAAAGCAGAAGTGACTGGACTGGAACTGGCCACAGCCCTGTCTCTGCCAGGTAGGGCACAGAGCCCAAGTCCCCTCTTTACCTTTAATTGTGCCCCCTTTCTGATCACTAGCCTCTCCAACATGCCCAAACCTTCTTATTTACACAAGAAGTGCTCAAGAAAACCGAAGGGGAAGACTTTTAAGACCATACATGTTTACAGGAGCTGGGGTAAGGAAGCCAATCAAGAGCCATTTAAGACCGAGATAAACCAGACACTCCAAGCACAGTACCTAATCCCAGGTGCCTAGAACAAAAGTTCACATTTTAAACGCCCCTCCCCCCCAGGCGGGGAGTGAATTCCCATCACATATTCACAGAAGACTAAGATTCCCCCCACAATGTTCTCCACTGGACTTCCCATCAGCGCAGTGTCTGCTCTCTAACCCGGGACCACATTCGGGGGTGTGACAGCGGTAGGAAGGGATGGTCTTGGAAACACTTCCCTATGCCTGCCCTCACCGAGGCGAAGGGGGCCCAGACAGGTCACATGTTAAGACGCAGCCATGGAACACACCTCTCCCAGGCAACCACTCTTTCTGGCTCCCAGTGCCTTGGGTGCCCCACCCTTCTTCTTGGCCTTCCCTGCACCCCTAAGTGAATGCTGCTCATATTTCTCTTCTTCAAAACAGAATGAAGCCAAGCCAGAAAGGGGAGGTAGGAGAATAAGACTGGGAAGGGCACGGAAAACTACGACGGACTCTGCCCAAAAGTACGAACAATGCACGCTAGCTGCTCTGCAAGTCCGAGTCGGCTGGACCCGTTTACCTGCACCCCAGAGGGCTGGCCCACAGGGGTCTCCGTTCTCCCCAATACCCCTTCCTCCTCTTTGAGCTTAAAAACAAAACAAAAAAAAAAAAAAAAACAAAAACCTGGGCTTGAAAGGTGGCCAGAAAGGCTGGCAAGGACACCAAATTCTGGAGAATGTAACTGTCTAGTCTCTTCTCCAGTGGGGGAAGGGAGAGAACCCATCTCCCGAGAGCATCTTCCAACCCTTTTCCAGAGAGGTAGAATCAGTTCATCAGTACCCTTAAATGCAAGCTTCCAGTCCTCGCTGTCAACTCCTGAGAGCGCCCTCCCACATCCAGTCCCCCAGCCCCTCACAAAGGGGCTGCAAAGTGCACACACAGCTCGCTATGGGTTGTCACCCACGGCCAGGGCCCCAAGCTCACTCCCTGCCCGTGTGCGCGCCGCTCCCTGCACGTATACCAGCGTGCACCCGCAGGGTGCTCACAGGTACGTTTACAGAGCGCGTGTGGGGGCCTGCCTGCGCCTTTATCCTCAGGCAGGCCTGCCCCCAGGCCCCAGGTCCAGCGGCCACTCTGGAGCCAGCCCTGCCTCAGTGTTTGATCTCCAGGATGGAGGGGTTGTGGTCCAGGATAGCCAGGATGATCTTGTCCATGTACTGCCTCAGCCGGAAGTTGATCTCCTCCTGCTCCTTTAGGGCCTCCATCAGCTGAAGGAAATGAGAAAGGTGGATCAGAAGCTGGGCCCAGGCTGGGCTTACAATGGACCAGTGACACATGACAGTGGCCCCAGAACAGCCTGAACACACTGAGCTGGGACCAGAGCCGAAGGCAATTTCATTGACCTGGGGAGGGGCTAGAGCATGGGGAAGTTTTCACAAAGGTTGGAAACCCTGGCCAGATTCACTCATAACCAGGGCTAGTATGTACGGTTCCTGGGCACAGCGTTTTCTCTGCCTACAACAGTGCCCTCCTCACTCCAGCCCTGCCCTAGTCAGTGACTCTCAAGTGTGACATTTAGGTGCTCCAACCCTGTGGGGTTAACTGTTCTCCTGGAAGCCACAGAATGGGGAGGGGGGGTCAGTTCCACATTAAAACGCAGCTGAGTGTTTTGGTATCTGAGGTAGAAAAGATGGGCTGCAGTGCTAGGGTGCTGGGCTCCTTTCCCATTGCCACTGGCATGACCTGTTATTCTACAGGGAAGTGTTTATGAAGACCAAGTATGTGAGAATAAGTAAACACGTATGCCTAAGAACCTCTGGTCACCATCTGGGTTAAGTCCCACGAGGACCTCTGATTTGAGCTCCACTCTGACCTGAGCCCAGAGCTCCTGAGTTTAGAGGGCTGAGCTCCTCCTCTGTGCTGCCTCCTGCTCAGCTGTGACACCGTGATAGCTGATAGTGAGCACTATTAGGGCCAGGCCTTAGCCTGCCTTTTGGGTCCCATGTGGTCTGAGGTTCATGGTCCCAGCAGGTGGGGTATGGGACAGGACCCACAGAATGGGGACCAGTTACCAATATGAGAGTCTAAAAGAGTGAGGGGCAAGGCTACCTCATCACGAGATGCTGTGTCAATTTCTGCGGCCAGTGACTGGGCTTTGGTCTGGGTGGCAAAGAGGTTCTTTGCCTCGTACAGGCTGAGGCTCAGGATCTGCCCATTTAAGTCGTCGTTCTGATCCCGCAGCTTGTGGTTCTCCTGTGGCAACAGAACAAAAGCAACCTGAGGTCTGGGAAGCAGCCTGAGGCCGCTGGAATCCACCTCTTCCAACTGTGCTGTGTCCTGAGCTGGAAGGGGAGTTACAGCCTGCCTGGAGAACCAGAGCACAGAGGTCTCTCCCCTGTTCTATGGGGGGTACTCAATGACCAGCTCGGCATGTAGTCCTGGACCTGGCTGAGGGAGGAGCTATTCTAGATTCTCCATGCAAGAAGGAGGGCTCTTCCGGTTCTGGATCCTGTTTCAAGATGCCTTGACCCTGAAGGCAGCTGATACTACAGCTCTGCAGGTGCCCCCTCCAATTTTTTTTATTTTTTAAGATTTATTATTTATACAGTACTCTGCCTGCATGCCAGAAGAGGGCACCAGATCTCATTATAGATGGCTGGGAATTGAACTCAGGACCTCTGGAAGAACAGCCAGTGCTCTAAACCTCTGAGCCATCTCTCCAGCCCTGTCCCCTCCAATTCTTGCCAATAGTTCACCCCAGAAATCTGGGAGCCCCTCCTGGGTGGGTAATAGCTAGCTGTACTGCAAGAGATGGCCACCAGGACTTTTGCCTGGGAAAATGGGCTCAGGTGTGAACCATGCCCAGCTTCCGGTGCACAGGCCCAGCTGAGTTTGAACCTCACTCCCTTCTTTAACCACTGCCCCTTCCTGATCCTATGCCTAACAACGACAGGATGACGGCACACTATGAGAAGCAGAATCTCAAGACTTAGGCCCTATTTGCCTGAGGAAAGCCGCTCGCCTGAGCGTGGGATGGGATGATGGGCCCTGGCAATCAGGTAGCTGAGAACAGACAGGAAAGGAGGCAGGGGCCAGGCCGCTGCCTGAGAATCCCATGTGGCTGGCCCAGCAGCCTCTTCAAAGCCACTGAACAGTGGCTCTAGGGCCTACCTGCTTTAGTCGCTTGACCTCATGCTCAAGTTCCACCTCCCGGGCTCTGGCATTGAACTCGCCAAGGCCGGATGAGCTGCGGCCCCGACCTGGCCGCTCGCAGTCCAGCTTGTACATCTGCAGGTGCTCCAGCTCCCTCCGAAGGTCCTCGATGAGCTGCAGGGAGAAAAGCCTCAGCTGGGTGCAGCAACAGCACCAAGGGCCACCAAGCCCTGGGGGGCCCGACTCACCTCCTGAGTCGCCTCCCGCTCCTTCTGGAACTCGAGGCGGTTCTGCCGCAGCTTGTCCATCATGCGTTTGTACAAGTCCATCTCATCCTTGAGTCTCAGGCTGGTGTCCTCCAGCCGGTCAGACATGCGCTGCCGCTCCTAGGGGCAGGCAGACCCCATCAGGGCAAACATCTGAAGGGGGACCTTAGACTCTGGAGGACCTTAGCAGAGCAGCTACCCTGGGAAGTGCCCTCCCAGAACATTCTAGAAACATAGCAGAAACACCCAGGCCCCTAATGTCCTTCTGTGGTGTCAGGTAGAGCCCGAGAAAAAGCTGTTTGTCCCAACAGAAGCTAAGCCCATCCTCTTTAAAAAAAAAAAAAAAAAAGGCATTTTACAATACATAATGCAGATTAAATTTTCACTGTAGAAAACTTGAAATTTTGTAAATTCAGAAGTGAAAGTCATTATTCACTTTTCCTTCCTTTTTAATTAAAACAAAACAAAACAAAACAAAAAAAAAAAAACAACCTTGCTTCTGGTTATATTTAAGACAAAACTCTTCATGCATCCTCAGCTGGTTTAGTTCATGATGTAGCAGAGGATGACCCCGAACTCCCAATGGTCTTGCCTCACCTCTTGAGTACTGGGAATACAGGTGTGTGGCCCTGGCACTTCTTCTCTGCAGGGAAATCGTGAGTTCTCCACAGGTGACGACCCGAAGGCCCTGAGACTGCCATTACCTCTCTACGAACCCAGCGTCTTGCTGGGACCCGACACTCACCTCATCCAGCTTCTCAGTCTGTGACTTGAGTCGAGTTACCGTGGTCCTCAGATCAGTGTTTTCTTCTTCTAACTGCTGCACCCTGGGAAAGAAAGATAGCCCAGATCAGAGAATCTGGAGTAGAAATGACCTCACAGAGAAGGCAACTGGCAGCTGGTCTCTGCTTCCAGGAGAAAAGAAACTATCAACTGAGAGAGACATTGAGACAAAAATAAATAAATGTCTCACAGGATAATTCAGGTCCAGCATCCCTGATCCAAAGATCCAGAGCTTCTGAACAAAGACATGATGCCACAAGCCAAATGCCATATTATCATGTAGCCAGGAGTGATGCTGTCTGCTTTTAAACCCAGCACTGAGATGCAGAGGCAGGAAAACCTCTGTTGAGTTGGAGGACAGCCTGGTCTACATAGCAATTTCCAGGGTGGCCACAGTTATAAGATGGAAATTTTAAAAAATAAATATAAATATATAAAAATTAAAAAAAGCCAAATTTTATATGCAGAATTCCTTTCAGGCTGTAGGTTACTTTTTAATTTTGTGCATTCGTACAGGGTGTGTGCATGTTCCTGTGAAGGTAGTCACGCATGTGCCACACCGCACGTGGAGGTCACCTTCACCTTGAGACGGGATCTTTCACTGGTTCGCTAGGCCAGGGGACCCTCCACCTTCAGGGGGCTCTCCCAGCTGCCGCAGAACATGGACTGCAGAGACACACTGCTGGGTCTGGTTCTATGTGGGTTCTGGGGACTCGAATTCTGGGTGGCAAGCACTCTACCCACTGAGCCATCTCCCCAGCCATATAAGCTGTTTCAGAAACAAAGAAGCCAGGCCTGGCGGCGCACACCTTTGATCCCAGCACTCCAGGCAGAGGCTGGTAGATCTCCGAGTTCAAGGCCAACCTTGAACAGATTTAGTTCTAGGACAGCAAGGGCTACACCTTGGCTTAGGGAGGTGGGGGAAGGAAGAGGGGGCGAGTTATGTCATGCTTAGATGGGTCCCATCTCCAAGACATGTATATATAAAAATGTATTTCAAAATTTGAAAAATTCTGAAAGCTGGCCTCCACACACACACACACACATACATGTCAACACACATGTACATACAAAGAACCCTTCATGAAACAATGAAGGAGGGGCTTTCTTCCAGGAGGAAGACAGTCCTATGACTGGAATGCCCGGGGCTCTTGTTAGTATCTGTAGTCTGAAGGCCATGGTCATGTTTACTCTCTCTCCTCCAGCTCTAGCCTTCACCTGGGATCTCCAGTGCTCACTGAGCCATTTCTGCTTCAGAGGCCATACTCCTCTGTGGGGGTTGTTTACAGACAGCTGGCCTGCAGAGACCCCACTGCACTAGCGGTTTGCAGGCAGGTGACGGCCACCAGAACTGTGCAGAACATCCGATTCAGCAGCTCCCCCAACCCCACTATTGTCCCATTCTGCAGAGGCTTTTCTTGACCTTAAGGAGGTCCTGGGGTACTCCAGGACGAGGGCCAGAGACTGTGAGTGCCATCCATGCCTCCCCATGAACAGCAACCCCTGCAGCTGAGGGAACAGAAGCAGACTACTCTCGGAGCCTGGTATTCTGTGTTCCTGCATTAGGCCCTGCTCACCCGGGTCCTCTCCCTCTCTGGTCCCAGCCACCTTTCTTGAACCCATCGTCATTAAAGCAGGAGTCAGTAAGCTAAGCAGACGTTAGGACACCAGCCCCAGAGCCATTCGTAAACAGCCTCTTCTAGAGCAGTGGTTCCCAATCCGTGGATCGGGGTGTGTGTGTGTGAGTGTGTGTGTGTGTGTGTGTGTGTGTCATTTATCAGACATTCTGCATATCAGACAATTACATCATGATTCTCAACAGTATGAAGTAGCGAAAGAAATAGTTTTATAGTCGAGGGTCACCACAATGAGGAATTATATTGAAGGGTCGCAGCATTAGGAAGGTTGAGAACCACTGATCTACACCAGAAGTCCAAATTTAGCATGAGAAACTCTCAGGGAAGGAAGGAGTCTGGGAAGGGGTGGGGGGTCAGGCCCAAGACAGTTGGGAAGTCTCCTCATCGAACTGCACTGGGTTAGGAATCACCCAATCCCTTGGGCTTGCCTGGACCAGTCCCTGTCCAGTATCCTCTGCCACCGCCCAGGCTGGACTTTGCACCCTGTGCTTAAACACCTGGGGCCCAAAGATCCAGGGCAGTGGCTGCTCTGCCAGAGGCCCCAGCAGTCCCGGCAGGACCACAGCTGCCTTTCAGTGGACACTGTGCACAGCTGTGGGGCGGCAGGCAGAGAGAGGGCGGGAGCGAGGGGTTACAGAGTTGGTAACGCCAACGTGACCAGGGCCAGTGGTGCTCCTCCTGCCCCTGGGCTTGGCTTCCAGCAAGGATGAGGCAGTACCAGTGCTGGCCATGGAACCCAGACTCAGTTTACCCATGCTCAAATTCAGGAGAGAATCTGACAGCAGGGGGAGCTCCAAGCCTAGAAATGAGACTCTGCCTTCCAATTTGCCTCTGCCACTTCCTCAGCCCAACCACCAAGGCTACTGTGAACTTCCATTCTGCTTTAAAGTATCTGAAGTAGAAAGGCTGGACTGATAGGCTCAGCTTTACCACAAACACTTGGGGACAGCACTAGCCCAGGGCCACCAGGGCAGAGGGGCACAGAGGGGCGACAGCGGGGTGTAGAGGGGGACAGGGGGCGCAGAGGGGGATGGGGGCACAGTGGGCAACGGGGCACAGTGGGCAGAAGGCCTGGTGCCCACCTGGTGTTGAGCAGCTCCAGCTCAATACCCTTCTCCCGCTCCAGCTTGCAGTAGGCCTCACGGTGCCGTCGGGCTTCCTCCTCCAGCGCCTGCTCCGCTGTGGTCTCCTGATCCTTCACCATCTCCTCCAGCTCATGTACCCTGAGGGGGGGCACAGACTTCAGTCAGGTTGCACGCTCATTCCAGAAGGCCCAGACCCCGCCAGAGCTGCTAACACATTCTTAGGGTTGGCGGAGGGTTTGCCAGGCCGACAGGTAAATCGGGGACACTGTGACATCTAACGAGAAGTGTGTCATCATACTCGAGGGAGAAACAGATCTAGTGAAGAAACTCCAGACAGGAGCAAAGCCACACAGGAGACAGAGAAGGCAGCAGGCCTGACCACAGCTATACACATGGCTTCTAAGTCTTACCCTCTCTTTTATGCC